AGAGTTACCTGTACTTTGCTGTGTATAGTGCACATTTTTTTGCCTAAATTTTTGAAGGAAAAATAAAAATGGGCATTGTACGTGGGTAGTGCTAATTGTGTATCTATATAAATTTTTTTTATTTTGATGCTACTTATTTTTTAAAAAAAGATTTTATTTATTTTTTAGAGAGGGAAGGGAGGGAGAAAGAGAGAGAGAGAGAGAAACATCCATGTGCGGTTGCTGGGGGCCGTGGCCTGCAACCCAGGCGTGTGCCCCCTGGACTGTGGTGCCCCCTCAACCGCCCCCTGCACTGTGGGCTCCTCCTCCTCTCCCCCGGACGCTGCCCTGCTCACAGGGCATGTGCCCTGACTGGGAATCGAACCTGCGACACTTTGGTTCGCAGCCCACACTCAATCCACTGAGCTACGCCAGCCAGGGCCCATATAAATGTTTTTGATTCTTTTATTTATGTGTATGAGTTAAATGTGCAACTTTAGCAAGCAATACCAATATCTGTATGCAAAATAATGCCCTGGAATACGATGATTGGTTTTGTATCTCAACACAAGTAAATAAATAATTGAACTTAAAGATGAAAATGAAAGATTTTCCCCCTGAAAGCCTGGGCCCGCAACGGGGGTGCACAATATACACGCCCATAACTCCGCCCACTCTGGAGCGTTCAGCTTCCCAGCCAATCCCGTCCCAGGCTGTTTACCGTTGCCTCGGCAACGGCCTCCCCACTTCTCCCCGGGGATCTGATGGGATCTCTCTGGATCGTATCCACACTCATATAAATGTTGATTTTATGAGAAAGGGGATTTTTAACTTTTTATTTATTTTTAGAGAGAGGGGAAGGGAAGAAGAAAGAGAGAAAGAGAAACATCAATGTGTGGTTGTTTCGGGCACGCCCCCTACTGGGGGCCTGGCCCACAACCCAGGCAGGTGCCCTGAGCGGGAAGCGAACCCTGGCCTTTCGGTTCCCAGGGACGCCCAACCCACTGAGCCACACCCGCCAGGGCCAAGTTCTCTTATGATTAAAATGTTTCTCTATCCGCCATTATTTTCCTCTTATTTCTTCTCCACTTGAACTTTTCTTGACCCAATTTCCTAATAGTTTCTCTGTTGTACGGTGATTGCGTCCCTGAAGAATCAGCTCTTAGAATCATTTCTCATTTGTCACCGTCCTCTTTCTGGGTTTGAAGTCCACTCCTCTCTGCCCTTCCTCGCCCCTGCCCAGCGACCTGCAGGGGGTCCCCCAAGGCCGGGGCCGATTCAAGGCCTGCATCCTGAGTCCTCCCGGGAGCAGAACCCGGGCCCGGCCGCCCTGCCTCCCAGTGTCTCGGCCTCGGTCAAGGTGGGCCGTCCCTGAGCTGGGGTTTCGGTCAACCACCAGGAGACAAGCGAGGGACATGGCCATCGTCCTGAGCTGAAGTCACTGAATCCCAAGTCTCCCGTGGCTGCCCGGTCTCGACGGGTTTGCCCCTGAACGGGGGACGTCCCGCCGCCCCCGCCTGGGCCTCGCAGACCCCTCCCCCCGGCCAGTGTCTGACGGGACAAACGACAAATGTTGCAAAGCTTTTTGTGCCTGAGCCTTCTTTTCCCGGTGAGGGCTGTACTCCCCCCACCCCCGGACAGCCAGGACCCCACGCTAATTGCAGGTCTGGCAGCGACGGTGGGGGAGCGGCGTCTGAGGACAGGCGCTGCGGCTTGCAAAGCGGCCACATCAGGTGAGGTCACTGCAGGCCCCGCCCTGGGGGAAGCTTCGTGTCTGCCCGGCAGGGTTCTCCGGGCCCCGGTGTTCCCCCGAGCCCAATCGTGGGGCCCAGCCCTGTCCCAGTCGGGGCCCCGACTTTCACAGCCGATGCCGAGGTTTGGGAGCGCGCCCACCCAGCAGCTCAGAGATCGGAGAGCCTTTCCGTGGCTGTAGGAACAGCCTTGCTCCCGGACCGGGTCGTGAGCCGGGCACGCGGAACGGCGGCTGAGGTCACTGCACGTGGCTCGGAGCGGCCGGCCAGCCCGCAGCCACGCTGCTGCCCGCTGCAGGCGAGCACGGCGCCCCTCAAGTCGCCTTTCGCCGCCGTGGGCCCGGACCCCACCCTGGAAGGCCGGCTCGCGGCAGGGCCTGAGGGTGCAGAGGAGACCCTTCGGGCCCCTTGCTGGGACGGGTGGGGCGGGCCTAGACCCAGGGACGCCGGAAGGGCCGGACTCGGCCGAGCCCCAGTGCGGCCCCCACAGCTGCTGGCCGCGGTGCCCGCCGGGGTGGGGGCGGGGCCGAGGGCAGCCTCAGCACTCCGTCCTTGACCTTCGGAGACTAGCCCATGGGCAGCTCCGGCCACAGGGGCACGTCCGAGGGCAAGGCCTGTGTCTGCCGGGCCCCTCAGAGCTCAGGGCTGCGCCGTGATGGCGACCAGCCCGGCCGGTCTCAGGGGCGCGGAGGCACCGGGGCTCAGCCACCGGGCCTGTGCCCGAGGCCCCCGAGAACCAGCCAGGCCTCAGGGGGCCCGCCACCCAGCCGCAGGAGCTCTTGGGGAAGCTGGCTGTGGGCCGTGAGTCCAGCAGGAGGCCCGCCCGCCCGGACCGTCCACCCCACACTAACAAGCTCCCTCCGTCCCACCCGGCAGGGGCCTGCTCGGGCGTCGGGGGCGGGCACCGGTGCCGAGTCCGGCGCCTGCCCCTGCGTCAAGGCTTCGCCAGGCGACGCGGTGACTCGGTGCAGCTTCCTCCTGCAGGGCAGGTGGGGCAGGTGGGGCAGGTGGGGCAGGTGGCTGGGAATGGCCGTGAGCCCCCGGAACGCCCTCCACACGGCCCGGCTTCTCCCTGTCCAGGTGTGGCTCCCCTCCCTGGGTCCGTCTTCGTGCAGCTGCCTCTCTCCACTGAGCACAGGCGTCTCGCCCCGCCCCCCACCGCCCCCCACCGCCCCCCGCAGCACAAGCCGCGCTGGTGCCCGGCCCGGCCCTCCGCAGGCAGCCTGGTCTCCATTTAGCTCAGGGAAAAGTGCACCTTCACTTTAATTACCGCCCTGCCGGCCTGTCCCTCCCTCTCCGCTGCTGCTGCTGCGCTGGTACTCACGGTCTCCACCCCACACGCCTTCTTTCCCTCGAGGCACCGGCTGGGGGGCTCAGCCCAGGCCGCCCCTCCGTTTGTGTCCCTGCGGGGCTCCTCCCCCGTGTGGCCGTAGAAAGTGGTGCCTCGGGCGACGCACTCTGTGGCCATTGCCCCGGCACCTCTGACCCTCAGGGACACCGTGGGCATCCTGGCCGGGCCCTGGCTCCCAGGCCTCTGAGGGCTACTCAGCTACGCGCCCGGGGGTGGGGGGTGGGGGCTGGTGTCAGAAGCCAGGAGGAGCGGAGGACCTGGCAGCCCCACCTGGACGGGGGGTGAGTGCGAGGCAAGACAGCCCGCGGCATCTGGGGCGACGCAGGAAGAGCTGACGGTGTGGGGAGCCGTGTCTCCGGGCCACACCCGTTCTCCTAAGTGAGGAGCAGAGGAGGGGGCAGGGCCCACGCAGGGCCCTCGGCAGGAACCCCGCCCCCCTGCCCTGTGAGTGTCCCTCCCACTGAGCGTGGGCTAATGGGCCTGGCTGCCCTGGGGACGCCCAGGAGGAGACTCGGGGGACTGGCAGGCGGAGCTGTCTCCAAGCAGAGGCAGCGGGGATGGTCCCCGGGGCGGAGCACAGGGAAAACCGTGGGCCAAGGCACGAGAGGGAGGCTCGTCCCAGCCTTGCTGCTCTGCACCCCGAGCAGCCACCCACCGGACCAGGGGCCAGCCTGGCCGGTCAGCGCGGTACCTAGTCCGCAGCCGGGCAGGGAGGGGGCGCCGCGGGGACCGCAGAGGGACGCGAGAAGGAGGGAGGGGCAGCTGTCCCCAGGCCGGTGTGGGGACCCTCGCCACGGAACCCCCGTGACCGTGCAGGCCTCCCGCAGGCCCAGCCAGTGGGGTGCAGCCGGGTGTGCCCGCCGCAGCCTGTGCGTCAGCGCCCGGAAGCCCACGGTGGCACCCAGTGCGACCTGCAGCGACCGGCCCGGCGCCAGCCGCCCGCAGCTTGGCCCAGGCTGCGTGCGGGGTTCACTCCTGCTCACAGGTCCTGTCTTGGCTTCCTGGCCCCTTGACTTCATGACCGGGGCACTGGCACCGAGTGCTGGTCAGCTCTGGGCCACCAAGCCGAGTGCGGTCAGCCAACCAGCAAGACGGGGATCACGGCCTCACGACCTCTTTCTCTCAGGTGCGACCTGGCATTGCCTCAAAACCATAGCTCTCTGTGGCTAAGTGGCTTTAGACTACTTCCTTTTTTTTAAAAAATATATTTTATTCAGATGTCTTTGTGTGTGTGAAGATTTTATTTATTTTTAGAGAGGGAAGGGAGGGAGAAAGAGAGAAATATCAATGTGTGGTTGCTGGGGGCCGTGGCCTGCAACCCAGGCATGTGCCCTGACTGGGAATCGAACCTGCGATGCTTTGGTTCTCAGCCCACACTCAATCCACTGAGCTACGCCAGCCAGGGGTTTAGACTACTTTCCTTTTTAACCCTCACCAAGGACCTGTCTTCACTGCTTCCTGGAGAGGGAGGGCGATGAGAGAGAAGCGCCACCTGGTCGCTCCCGCTTGCACCTGGCCCTGGGGCCGACCCCGCGACCTTCCAGCTGCCGGCTGCCACTGCGACCCGGCGAGCCATCCCGGCCAGGGCAGCTTGAAACCACCTCATGGAGCTTTTTCTCGCTGTGGCCAGGAGGGTGTCGGCACAAAGCACCTCCCTGCCTGTCCCCAGGAACGCGTCCACGATGCCCTTGTCCGCAGTGTGGGACTGGGCACGGGGGGGGGGGGGGGCCCTGGCTGCCCGGGGGGCCCTGAGGTTGGGAGGCCCCTCCCGCAGGTCACAGCCACCTTGGCCGCCAGCGGGCCCACCCCCGGCCCCGCCCGGCACCACCCTCTGCACCAGTCTCCCTGGCGCAGGGAGAGCCGCCCTGCCCCCACTCCAAACAACAAAGGAGCAGCACCCAGAGCACAAGGGAGCCAAAACGTTTAAGTTATTAAATCAAATATACAGAGTGATTCATTTAATATGTACATATTTACAAAAATGCACTTTCACGAGGGGGCCGGGGCCAGCAGGTGGGCAGGGGCCTGGTGCCCGCGGCGGTGTCGTCAGGTGCGAGGGCGAGTCTGAGTGAAGGCACTTGTCTCGGGCTTCAGCGCTGCCACCGTCCCGGGGACAGAGCAGGCGGGAAGGGCACTTCAGAAAGCACAGCTGACGGACATCGTGTTCGGGCAGCAGCGGGCGAGGCCGGCGGGGGGGGGGGGCGCTGCCCACGGCCCCGGGCCACGCCAGCCACCGCGGGCCCCGCCGGCCAGCACAGGTGCCACCGGCAGCCACGGGCGGTCCCACAACAGCCTCGGGTGGTCCCATCAACAGCCACGGGCCACACTGCCAGCCACGGGTCCCATCGACACCGGGGGCCGCGGGTCCTACCAGCTCTTTGGCCTGGAGCCACTGAGAACCCCAAGTGAGGAATAAAAGGGAAGATTCTGTAAACAGGGCACCACCTCTGGGCTCAGGCAGTTTCGTGGGGACACGGCAACGCCTCTCCGGCCACGCGGCAGGCGCCACACACAGAAACGATACAAAAATAGCGACTGCCCGAGGACACGCCCTTGCCTTCCGCCTGACAATTATCGAATAATTTACACAAGGTTAAAGAAACATAGAAAATAAACATTCGTTTTTGGTTTTTTGGTTTTTCTACACAAAATAAAGAAACTATGCACACGGCCTCAGCCTCCTACAGCCGGCGGCGCCCGCAAGGGGTCCCGGGCGCTGGCCCGGCCGGCGGCCGGCCCTAGTCCCGGCCGGCGCGGTGTGCCTCGTTGACGCTCCTCACGGCGCGGTTGTCCACTTTGGGGCCCGCGGCCCAGCGGGCCGGCCTCCCCGGCGAGCCCCCGGGCTCTTTGGTGCGCTCGTGCGGGAGGAAGCGTCCCGCCTCCAGGGCGTCCTCCTCACCACGGCCGGGCTCCTCGTCCTCCTCGTCCTCCCCGCTGCCCCCACGGCCCGCGGGCCCCGGCAGTGCCTCGCCCGCCCGGCGCGGTGGCGGCGTGAAGTTCTTGCACTGGTACAGCACGTCCTTGCGGCCGCCCGGCCGCTCGATGGGGTTGCGGATGGGGTTCAGCGGGGCCCACTGGTTGTTGGCGCCCTCCTCCCGCGGCAGCCGGCTCCGCTCCCGCTCTTTCCTGCGCTTGCGGGTCCACCACACGCAGACGGCCACGCAGGCCGCGCACAGCACGCTGAACACGCTGCAGAGCACGGGTACCAGCACACCTGCGGGCAGCAGGGTGTCCAGCCCAGGCGTGGACACCGGCCCCAGCCCGGCCGCGCCCCCGCCCCCACCCGCGCCCCCACCCCGCTCACCTGCAGAGGAGCCGCCCACCACGACCGTCTCCACCTTGACCTCGGTGACGGCCAGCAGGAGCGAGCTGTTCCCCCGCTGGGTGATGGCCGCCACGATGGCGTGGGCGGCGCTCTGGATCAGGCCGCTGTCCGGCAGGTCCCAGGCGGGGCTGAAGGACTGTGGCAGAGGCCGGCACTCAGGGCCGCCTGCCTGCCCACCCACCCACCCGCTCCGCAGCCCGCGCCCCTCCCCCCGCGGGGCCGGGACCGAGCCAGTGCTGGGCCTCTTGCCCAGCTGCAGGGACAGACGCGGGCTGCTGTGGCCCCTGCGCAGGGCCGCACCGGACAAGGGGTGTGGCCTGGGCAGAGCAGGGGGCCGGGGCCACCGCCACCGAGGAGGCCGTCAACAGTGCTTCACTGCCCACAACCCCACCCGCCCCACCAGCACTTCCTCCCACCTTCCCCTCCGGACCCCTGGGCCTCTGCCCACCTGAGCCAGAGCCTTCATTTCAGCAGGCAGGACAGGGACCCCCCCCATCCTGGTCCATGCCCCCCGAGAAGCTGACTCCACTGCGGTGGATTTCCAGCTCCCTAGGCCCCGGGCCAGCCCCGGGCCCTCCTGTCCTCTGAAACCCGCACCCATGCCCCACCCCCTGGTCCCTGTGACCTCTGACGTGCCCCAGCTGCGGGCCCAGTGCTGGCCCGGCCCCCAGCCTCGCTGTCGTGCACTGTCCTGTTGACTCCTGGTCTTGGCTCCGCTGCCCCTCCTCCCACCCTGGGCGGGCTGGCCGGGATCCACCAGCTCCAGGAGAGGGCACCCAGCACCCTCCCCACCCCACGCAGGCGCAGTGGGCCCACTTCCGGGGCTGCGTCCCTCTGTCCCATCAAGCCCCCGGGGACGGGCCTGGCCTGGCCCCTGTGCTCCCAGCGCCTCCCAAGAGCACATCCAGAGCAGGACCCCCAGAGCTGGCCACCCTGCCCACCAGCACTCACCATGGCCACCTCCACGGCGCTGGCCTCCAAGGACGGCCGGTCACAGAGCAGCACGAGCAGGCGGTCCCGGGCCACCGCCCTCGTGGCCGGCAGGGCACGAATCCCCGAGCAGATGGCGCCCACGGTGGTGCCCTGGGCAGAGGTGGGCAGCTGTGAGCAGGCCCCCGCCCCACAGGCCACCCGGGGCCACGGCGGGGGCGGGGGGGGGGGACGCAGGGCGGCCACTGCCACCTGCAGCAGCAGCACAGGCAGGCCCAAGGGGGCGGGGCCTCACACGCTGAGCCCCTCCCCTGGTGGCCCAAGGCCACCGTCAGTCAGGGCCCTGGGAAAACGGACCAAAGGGCACCCCGGCCTCCCCACCACCCCTGCAGGCCACACGGGGGCTCCCACTCATCTGACCCCACAGGGCCAGGCTCCCTGAGCAGCCACGGAGCCGACCTCAGCCTTTCCGATCCCACGGGGGCGGGGCCCCAGCCCACGTGGAGGGCAGCGGCAAGCACTCCCCGGCCCTGCGGACTCCCGGGCGGCTCACCTGGGGCACCTGGTCGCGGTTGAAGCGCAGCGTGAGGCGCGCGCAGTTGTCGTCCAGGTGGCCGGAGCCCGGCAGGCAGGGGGTGCCGGGCAGCAGGGGCTCCTCGGGGCCGCACTCCCCCCAGGCTGCGCAGGGCGGCTGCAGGCACTGCCCCGGGGCCCTCTCCCTGCACTGCTGCCCCGGGGGGCACTGCACACTCAAGGCGTCCGGCCGACTGACCAGCAGGCAAGGCTTCCGCCCGCACCACACCTGGCCGGGCACGCACACGGGGGGAAGGGAGGGTCGGGGTCAGCAAGTCCCGGGACCACGCGACCCCACTGCCCAGGCTCCTGGGCTGTACCGAGTGCCAGAAAGGGCCCCCACCTGAGGAGGGACCGTGGGTGGCGGGGGGCGGGGGGCACACAGGCCTCAGGTTTCTGGAGCCTGCACAGGGGGAAGCCTCAGTTTCCCCAACTGCACAATGTGGACAGGGGCCTGGTTATGCCCAGGGGCCCTCCTTCCTGGGTGCCCAGTGGAGGTGGGTCAACTTGGCTCATCCCACCCCAACTCCGGCAGCAGCTCCTAGTTCTCACAGGGTGGGTGTCAGGGTCATGGGCAAAAGACAGGGCCCCCATGGGCCAGGGGCACCAGGACGTCGGAGCCGGGCAGGGCAGGGGCGCCAGGCAGGGCAGGGGCCCCCAGCACCTTGCTGCAGTCTCGGCGGCCATCCAGGCAGCGGCAGCTGTTACAGTCCTCCACCCAGGAGCTCCCGTGCGGGAAGGGCACGCCCCGCGACCAGCAGGGCCTCCCGAACACGACCACTGTGGGGACAGCAGAGGGGTCGGCCAGGGCACTGCGCCCCGGAGGCCAGGTCTCGCCCTGCCCTGCCCGGCACAGGCCCCACCTACCCTCCTGGCACCGCGGGCCGGCCCGGCCGGGCGGGCAGCTGCAGCGATAGCCGTTGATCTCGTCCACACATGTGGCCCCGTACGCGCAGGGGGAGGACTGGCACTCGTCGATGTCTGCGGGGGAGGGGCTGGCTCAGCGGGCAGCGGGGGCCACGTCCCACGCAGGGCCTGGGCTGCAGCCCAGAGCAGCAGGAGAGGCCCGAGCGGGTCAGCGGACACATCCCAGGTGAGCAGGGGCCTCCCTGTGCCCCACGGGGCCTCTGAGCCAGGCCCGGCTCTGCCACTGGCCTGAGGCTCTGTGGGCACCAGCCCGTCCTCTTGCACCTGCTTCTGGACCAAGGTAGGCGGGGCCTGGGGGGCAGACCCCTCACCCCCCACCCCACTGTGGTCTCTCCTCTAACTGGACAGCCTCAGATGCCAGGATGGGGCAAGCAAAGGGGCACTGCTGGCCAGGCATGGGCAGGTGGGGAAACCAAGGCCGGGAGCAAGGCGGGGTGGCTGTGTCCACACCGGACTCCGGCGACCCTGACCCCAGGCCTGCACTGGGAGGAGCTCCCTGGGCTGGGCCCCACAGCCCCACCCACCCAGCCCCCCCCAGCGCCTCACTGATGCGGCAGTCGGGGCCCGCAAAGCCTGGCGCACACTCGCAGCGGAACCAGTTGACACCGTCGACGCAGGCGCCGCCATTGTAGCTGCAAAGGGAGAGCAGGTGTCAGGGGGGCCCCCGGGGCAGGACGAGCTCCCCAGGGTGGCCGGCCCCCCAGCGGCCACTCACCAAGGCAGAGGGTTGCAGTCGTTGGTATCTGTATTGGAGAAAGAAAAAGGGCTGCTCAGCACGGCCTCTGCCACCCAGCCCCCCCACCGCGTGCCCGGTGTGGGTGCCCCAGACATGCCACCCACGTGGCCGTGCTGGGAGGCTGGGGGGAAGGGCAGGGTGGCTTCACGAGGAGGTGGCCCTGGGCGTCACGGAAGGCCAAGTCCTGGAGGCGGTCGGCGGGGCTGCAAGGCCTGGCCACAGGGTGAGCGGTCGGCGGGAGGTGGATGGGGCCTGGGGTGTGCGGCAAGGGGGGGGCTGCAGAGGTGGGAGGGGCGGGGGCCGCACAGCAGGTCTCGGGGTGTAACTGTGCTTTGGTGGGCAGGTGGAGTGGACACATCCACGGGCAGGGGCAGGAGGGACGGGCCAGGGAGCCCCCACCCCACAGCACCCCGCCCCGCCCCATCCCCGCTGCCCCGCCTCCCGGTGCTCACTGTGCGTGCAGGTCCGGCCCTCCCAGCCCTCTCGGCAGATGCAGGAGAAGGAGTCGCCGCTGCCCACGCAGGTGCCCCCGTTCATGCAGGGGTTGGGCAGGCAGCTGTTGTTCTTGGCTGTGAGGGGCACAGAGGGGGAAGGGGGCCTGTCTGTCTGGCGCTGGACAGACGGGCGTCCCCGCCGCGCCCCGGCCCAGCCGGGGGCGGCGTGCCAGACGGGGGCGGGCATGCCCGTGTTCTGAGGGCCCGGGGCCTCCTCACCGGTGTTGCAGGTGCTGCCCTTCCAGCCGGGGGGGCAGGCGCAGCGGAAGGTGTCGCCACTGTCGTAGCAGGTGCCACCGTTGCTGCAGGTGTAGGCATCGCACTGGAACTCACCTGCGGGCACAGGCTGCTCAGGGGGGCGGCCCTAGTGCTGGGGCGGGGCCTCGGGGCCGTGGGGCTGGGCCGCGGGGCCGGGCCGGGCCGCGGGGCGGGGCGGGTGGGCGGGCACTCACGTGAGTGGCAGGTCTTGCCCTTCCAGCCGTCCTCACACGCACAGTAGAAGTCATTGACCAGGTCATAGCAGCGGCCTCGGCTGTGGCAGGGATCGGGAAGGCAGTCGTTGGGATCTGGGGGCGAGGACGCCGGTCAGCCGGGGTCACCGGCACTCAGGGAGGGCTTCTTGGGGGCAGAGGCGCCGGAGCTGGGCCCAGAGAGACAGAGAGAGGCAGGGAAAGGCGCCGGTGGCAGAGCCGGGACCAGGCCGGAGATACTGGGCGAACCCGGCACAGCGTGTGGGTGCCCGGCACCCAGAGGCCGCGGCCAGGGCGGGGAGCCCGGCGGGGCCACTCACTGGTGTCACAGAGCTCTCCCTCCCAGCCGCTGGGGCAGAAGCAGCGGAAGGCGTCCACCTCGTCAATGCACGTGCCCCCGTTGTGGCACGGCTGGCCGCGGCAGTCGTCAATGTCTGCGGGAGGCTGGCGTGAGCAAGGTCCAGGCTGCCGGCCCCCACCCGGCCCACGGCCCGTCGTGGCCACTCACTCTCATGGCAGTAGGTGCCCGTGAAGCCGCTGTCACAGATGCAGGAGAAGTTGCCGCCGGGCAGGCTGACGCAGCGTCCATGGGGGCCACACACCCCGGGGGCCGCCACGCCAGCCACCCGGGGTCCAGCCTCCAACCCGCAGCCGTCAATCACTGCAGCAAAGGGGAGGGGTCAGCCCAGGCCCCTTTCCCGCAGGCCCCGCCCCCACCCCGCAGGCCCCGCCCCCACCTCTGCAGGCCCCTCCCGGGCAGGGGTCCCTGGGCACGGAGCAGTTCTTGCCGCCCATGTTCTCGGGGCAGGCGCAGTAGTAGTCGCCCTCCAGGTTGTAGCAGCGGGCGCCGTTCCAGCAGGGGCTCGGCTCACAGAGGTCGATGTCCACCTGCGGGGCGGGGGTGTCGTGAGGGCCCAGCTGCTGCTGGCAGACTGGCCAGGCGTCCTGTCCACCCCAGGAGCCCCAGGGGCCCCAGACGCCAGGCCTCCACGGCCAGGGCCTGGAGGACGTCCCCTGGGACCGTCCAGGCCGCTCGGCTGGACGGAAACACCTGCGGGCCTCCCGGCCTCTCGGTCCGCCACAGCCCGCTTCCTCTGCCCGCCAGGCGGCATCCGGCCATCACCCCTGCTGCTGGCAGGAAGGCCAGCCCCTGACCCACTTCCCCAGTGCCACTGCTGCCCTGAGCCCGGCCTGCGGGTCCTCCCCAGACACGGCACCGCCGGGCCCCCGGCCCCCGGCCCCCGGCGGGACCCTGGCCCCGCGCCCCAGGAAGCCTGCAGCCCGCAGCCCCGTCCTGCTCTCCCCCGCAGAGGGCAGTGGGCACGGGCCACCTGCCTGGACAGGGCCACCCACTCCCGGGCTGGACCCACACGTGCGGCTCTCACTCCGGCAAGGCACCCTCGCCACACCCTGGGCCCCCTCTCAGGCTGCCCACAGCTCAGGCCGTCGCGGCCACTGCCCCTCCCGTCCCAGGGTGGGGGCCATGCAGGGCCTCTGCCGGGCTTGGCATGACAAGCAGGGACCCCCCTTTTTCAAAAAGATTTTTATTTATTTATTCTTAGAGAGAGGGGAAGGGAAGGAAAAAAAGAGGGAGAGAAACATCCATGTGAGAGAGATACATCAATCGGGGACCAGGCCTGTAACCCAGGCACACACACTGACTGGGAATTGAACTCGGGACCCCGGCCCCCTCAGTCTGCAGGACGATGCCCACCCACTGAGCCACACGGGTGAGGGCACCAGCAGGGACCCCTGACCCTCCCCCTACACTCTGTGCAGCCAGGCACCTGGACTTTGGGGGCTACGTCTCAGTCCAGGACCCTGCGGGGTCAGCCCTGGCTGCAGCCCCTCCTGGTCACTAGGGTGGCTCCCGGGACAGCAGCCAGGGCTGAGAAGGGCGGACTCACCTCGCAGAGGGGCCCGGAGAAGCCCTGGGGGCAGTGACAGCGGAAGCCGCCCACCAGGTCCTCGCACACGCCGGCGTGGCAGGGGCTGCTGGCACACTCGTCCAGCGGCAGCTCGCAGTGCCGGCCGCCGAAGCCCCTCGGGCACGTGCACTGGTAGCCGTTCGCAAGGTCCTGGGACAGGCGGAAGGACAGACGGAAGGGCGGGGCTGGGCGAGCGTCCCGCGGCAGCCCCGCCCCGCAGGCACCTCCGTCCCACGCCCTTCCCGAGTGTGCGCAGGGGCGGGGCGCCCGCCGCGGCTCACCTCGCAGGTGCCCCCGTGCCGACACTGGCCGTGACAGTCGCGGTCTTCTGCGGACAGAGGGTGCGGTCAGGGGCGGGGCCCTGGCGCCGGCCCAGCCCACCCGCCTGCGGCCGCCACCCGTACTGACTGATGTGGCAGTTGAGGCCCTTCCAGCCCGGGCGGCAATCACAGTAATAGCCACCAATCAGGTTTTTGCAAGAGAAAGCGTTAAGGCACGGCTTCCCTTCACACTCATTGGCGTCTGTGGAGGAGACAAGAGGGCGCCGTGGGGCCCGGCCCCACGTGCCCCTGCGCCTGGCGCCCGCGGCCCCCGCAGCCCCGCAGCCCCGCAGCCCCGCAGCAGCCGCCGGATGCAGAGCCCTCAGCGCATGCTCCCACGAGGCCCCGCCCCTTACCCAGCAGGCAGGTGGCCCCTGCCCACTGCTCGGGGCAGATGCACTCGAAGCCGTCCACGCGGTCCACGCAGGTGCCGCCCGCCGCGCACGGGCTGGAGGCGCACTCGTCCACGTCTGAAGAGGGGGGGCGGGGTTGGCATGTGGGCGGGGCTGGGAGGGGGCCCACGGACCGGGTCTCCGTGTGGAGGACCCGTCACATGCCAGGGTCTCCGTCACTCCCCCCGGGGCCACCCAGGCCACAGACACGCGTGCAGACGTGACAGCTGCCGCCCCGCCCCCGCCCTCAGGCCCCCCCAGGTGCCCGCCCGGAGACCCACGCCGCACCCGGCCCACTCACCCAGGGCGCAGGTGGGGCCACTCCAGCCGGACGGGCAGTGGCACTCGAAGCCGGAGGGCACCTCGTGGCACGAGCCGCCGTTGGCACACGGGTTGGAGGAGCAGGCGTGCTCGGCTGCACGGGACCAGAGGGGCGCTGGGTGGGGGCTGCGGCCCAGGCGCGTGCCTTCCCAGGACGCCCCCCCCAGCCCCACGGTGGGGTAAGGCAGTGTCCAGGGCACCAGGGGCCGGGGTCGGCCAGGCCCCCGGGACGCGGCCCGCTGCCAGGCCGAGGCCGCCGACCTACCCCGCTCGCAGTTCTTGCCCGAGTAGCCGGCGGGGCAGACGCAGTGGTACTGGTCGGGCTCGGCGTTGGTGCAGGTGCCCCCGTTGGTGCAGGGGTGGTGGCTGCCGCAGTAGTTCAGGTCTGGGGGCAGGGGCGGGGGCGGGGCGCTCAGGGCCGGGCCTGCCCCGCGCGCCCTGCCCGCCCCAGGGTGGCCGAGCCGCAGGCCGGGCCGCCCGCCGCCCACTACCTTTGTCGCAGAGCAGGCCGCCCCAGTTGGTCTCGCAGGTGCACTGCCAGGGCTCCACGCAGCTGCCGTGCACGCAGCCCGGGTACGGGACGCACTCGTCACAGAAGCGGCCCTGCCAGCCGTAGCTGCACCTGCGGGCGGGCGGCCGAGGGGCGTGGGGCCGGTCGGTGGGGGCGTGCCCTACGGACGCGGGCCACCCCCGAGGCCGGCGCCCCTGGCCTTTGACCTGGAGCGGGCCAGGGGCCAGGCGGGGGTCACGGGGCCCGGCCACCCCCACCGTCGCAGATGCGCCCGGCCACTGGCCCAGGGCAGTGGCCGCAGCTGTCCAGTCACTCCTCCCGGAGCTATTTTGGGACCTGCCCCTGCGTGGGGCCCCAGGAGCAGGCGCTGGGGAAGGGAAGCCCTGCTGGGACCCCAGGATGCGGGGCCCCGCGGGGCCCCGCGGCCCCCGGAGCCCTGTGGGGTGTCGGCAGGGGCTCCTGGCCTGGCCCCAGCCCCGTGGCCTCAGGCCCAGCTTGCGACCTCACCTGAAGCTCGAGGGCAATAACAACTCTGCCAACAGAGCCCCACCCAGGGTCCGTTTCACAGGTGGGGGCCCAAGGCCCAAGGCTGCACCAGGACAGCCCTGCCAGGCCTGGGAAGAGCCACCTGCTCCCTGGCAAAGAGGCCACGACCCCGCGGCCTGGCCCCGCCCGTGCTGTGGGCCAGCATCCCCTCCGGGAAGTCTTGCAGGAGGAGGGCGGGCGGCCAGGGCAGAAGAGGCCACCTGTGCGGCCCCATCCGGAGCCCAGAGCTCAGCGTGACTGCGGACCCCACGGCCAGGGGAAGGCCCCACTGTCCCGCAGCAGGGACCTGGGGGCCGCCAGGCCCTGACCAGGACCCCAGGGGCCCCTTCCGAGAACTGCAAGGTCCCGGGGGAAGGGCGGGACATTCAGGCCGCGTCTCCTCCACGCCGGCACCGCCACGTGAATTTATTTTTGTACGAGGAAGGAGCCACGGCCCTTCCTGGGCTGCCCCTGAGCCCCATAACTGCCGGAGGGGACAGCGGCCTGCCGGCTCCGTGGGCACAGGACGGGGGAGCCGAGGGCGGAGGGAAGGGGCTCTGCCACGCAGACCCCGTGCACCCAGGGGCCCACGTGGGTGCAGGCCGCGCACCCTGACCCGAGCCCTGCAGGTGACGGGGGGGTACCAGGCTTGGGCGGGGCCACGAGGGGCTCGGGTCCCCAGCTGGGGTCCCCGGGGCGTGCTGTCCGGCCTGGGTGGGGCAGACCCCCGCTTCCCTGGCCCAGGGCTCCAGCCGCCAGGGAGGAGGCGGCAGGAAGGCAGGGCCATCTCCGCAGCAGCATCCGGTGGGGGTGTCCTGCCCTGAAACCTGAGTCCTGAGCCGCCGCGGCAGCTGGGCCTCACCCACAGGGCTGGGAGAGGGCGGGTGGGGGCTCACCTACTCCCCCACACGGGGCGCGAAGGGCCTCCGTCCCGGGCTCCCGCCCCTCGGCTTCCTGCTTGGCCGGCCGGCAGGGGGAGGATGGGGCGGAGACCGGCCTCCCTCCCACCTCGGCCTCCCTCTGTCCCTGCTCGGACCCCCGGGGCCACGGCACGGTGGCCTCCAGGATGAGCCAAGGTGTGCAGGGCTGAGACCCAGCCCCACTGGGCTCGCTCCCCGGGCTCACGCCCACCCCCGAAGTCAGTGGGCAGGCCCCGCCCTGGACAGACAGACAGCCAGCCTCACACCACCTCTCCCACCCAGAATTCGGGCCTGCCCTGGGCCGGCCCCCCCACTGGTGGCCCTCTTACCCCTGCTGTGCCCCCACTCTGCGGCCCACTGGGTGGGCCTGAGACCCACCAGTGTGAGGGGCTGGGTGAGTGAAGCCCCAGCGCCCGGCCCTTCCCTGGGGGCAGAGCCACCACCGGACAAGCAGCAGGGGCACCACCCCTCCCGTCCTGGCTCCCAAACCCTGCCTTCCTGTGCACACTCACTCCTGCGTGGCCCTGAGAAGGTCACTTCACGTCTCTGTGCTCAGTCCCCGTGTCTGAAGAAGGGAAATCCGCCCCCTCGGGGGCCCTGGGCAGACAGTGTCCACCTGGGCCCCGGCCGTCCTCGGCACCCGAGCGCCCACTGTCCGCCCGGCTGCCGGAACCCCCGGGGGGCTGCCGGCTTCACCAGCAGGAGGCCCCGGCCCTTCCGGCCTCCTCTCTCCGTCTGCTCCCAGCCCAAGGCTTCAAAGGCCGTCTGCACGCCCCAGGGGCCCCTGGGGCCTTGGGCCGGGCCCATCCCCATCGACCCCTCTGCCCAGAAGACCCCGCCTGGGGCAAGGCAGACAGCACCCCTCCTGCCCCGCCCCTAACTCACACAGCTTCACGCTCAGCTCAGCCCAGAGGCTGCAAGGCCTGGGGCCCTCTTTGCCCCCCCCACTCCCCTCACCCACGTCAAATCCTCTCTGGGACGCCTGAAGGACCCGCCCACCTCTCCGCCTCCTGCCGGTCACCCCCGTCCACCCTCACCCCTGCAGCAGCCTTCCCACCAGCTCTCCCCACAGCAGCTGCCCTGGTCCTTCCTCCCTCCTCGCCCAGCTCCGAACCCCCGGGGGCCCTCTTCCCTGCGGGTCCTGCCCCACCCCTGCCAGCTTCTCCCCATGATCTGGGGGTTCGAGCCCCGCTGCTCCTGCATCCCTGTGCTGCGGACACCCACGCTGAGGGGGCGCTGGGTCCCCAGGCCCGCACCCCTTGGAAGTGACTGTCCCAGCCACCCTCCCCGAGGCCCCACACAGCACCCCTCGCACGGCAGGCCCAGCCTGTGCAGCATGTGTGCATGTGTGTGTGAGTGTGCGCAGAGGTCTGCGCAGCGGGAGGAGGGGGCGGGGGCGGGGGCGGGGGCGGGGCGGGGGGCGCTCACCTGCACTCCCCGGGCACGGCGCAGCCCCCGTGCAGCAGGTTGCAGCCCGGCTTGCACACGGCTGCAACAGAAGGGGGCGCAGAGCCTGCTGCGGCGGCGGCACCTCGGCCGCCCACGGTCCCCCGCCCCCCGGGGGCGCCCCCGGGCCCGCCCACCGCCCGCCGGCCGCCCGGCCGCACCTTGCTGGCACTCCTTGCCCATCCAGCCGTCCATGCAGGCCTTGTTGCCGTACTGGTCGCAGGTGTGGTGGCCGAAGTAGTCGTCGCGGGGCCGGCAGAACTTGTTGCAGGCGGGGCTGTAGTAGTTCTTGGCGCAGCGCACGCGGATCTGCAGCTCCAGGTGGGCCACGTGGCCGCTGAAGTGCAGGCTCTTCCAGCGGTCCTCGGGGTTGACCATGCCCGTGTGCGACACCCGCTCGATCAGCAGCGCCTCTGCGGCGGGCAGCGCTGTCAGCCCGGCCCGCGCCACCCCGGGGTGCGCGGGGCCACCCGCCGGGCTCCCGCGCCTCACCCCAGCTGCAGACGGGCCCAGAGCGGGCCCACCCCAACCCCAGCCCCAGGCCCCCGGGCCACGCCCTCGCCGGCACTGCCGCCTGCCCTCGGTCCCGGCCACCTGGGCCTCATCCCAAACCCAGCCACTGCCTGCGGGTGGGGGGCGCGAGCCGGCACCACGGGCACACGGGGACCCGTGAAACCACCCCTGTGCTTTGGGACTCTCCACAGCAAAGGCTAAGGAACCCCTGCACCCCTGCTCCCTCCACTGCGCCCCTGGGCCTCTCCCAGCAGGACGCTGCGCCCCCCAGAGCCTGTCCTTGTGTCTGTCCCACCACCCCACCTCCCGGGACCGCTCAGATGCAGGCAGCCCGTCCCCACACTTACCCCCCACCCCGGCACAGCCCCCCGGGGGGGCCCGCGCCCGGCCTTGCTGACCCTGTGGCTTCCCCCCGACCCCGCAGTGCAGCCCCCGGCTGCTCCCCAAACACGTGGGGCTCACTCTGGCCCAGGGCCCCTGCAGGAGCTGCTGCCGCTGCCCATGGGGCGCCTCCCGCCGGGCCCTGGCGAACCTCTCTGCCCCACGCCCACGGGGCCCGCAGGCCCCGAGCCAGGCCGCCAGCCCGCAGGTGAGTCTCGGAGATGGCCGCCACGGCCCGTGTTCCAGAGAGCACTCCGCCAGGGGAGCGCAGAGGCAGCCCCTTGGGGGGCCGGGACACCGTGCCCAGGGCCCTCGGAGAGGAGCGGCCGTCCTGGCGTGGGGGCCCCTGTCCCCAAGGAGCCTGGCCGCGTGCACCTCCCGACGCCCCGAGGGAGCCCACAGGCAGCGGCCCCCCGCCCCGCGCAGGCCGGCTGGCGGACTCACCGTCCGGGCTGGTGTGGTTGTCCCAGTCCCAGGCCTCCACGATGAGGGTGAAGGAGCGCTGTGTGTACAGGGGGGGCCAGTCAGGGACCCCCGTGCGGACAGGGACCAGCCTGCCGTGGCCCCGCCCACCGAAGGCCCCTCCCAGCGACCTTGCTGTGCCCCCCACCCCCCCACCCCTCAGCTCGGACCCCCCAGACCACCCACCGGCAGGAAGGAGGCTGCCCCCTTGGTCGGTCGGCTCAGGGGGCTTAGCCCCTGGCTCCCATGGCCAGCAGCCCACACCTGGGGAGACTGGGTGCCCCAGGCAGAGGGGCAGGGGCAGCGGAGTGATGCACTGGCTGCAGGCGGGTCCCCGTGGCCTGGGACCGCAGGGCGCCGGGTGGGGGCCTCGCCCCAGAAGGACGGCGCCGTGTCCCCCAGCTGCCCCTCCGCTGGGACAACGCGCCCACAAGGCCCCCGACAGGCCCTGGCTCTGGTGCTGCCCCCCAGGATGCAGCAGGTGCACCCCGAACAGCACGCAGTCCACACACCCCCCTCACTCTGAGGCCAAGAGGAGGCAGCGAGGGACCCCTGGCCCGGCCTCGGCCGTGGTCGCCACCCCCCCTCACCAGGACCACCTGAGCCCCAGGCTACATGGTGGGGTGCCGGCACCGAGCACCCCCAGGGCCCGCGCCCGCTGCCAGGGAGGCCAGGGCGGCCCTGTCACTCACAGGCACCAGCCCCCCGGGAGCCGAGAGCCTGGCCTCCCTGCCCAGGGCCCTCCGTGGCTCGCCTGTCCACGCCGAGACGGAGCTGAGCCCCCTCCGCCAGAGCCTGGCTCCCCGCAGGCTGGGGCCCCCAGGCTAGGGCCGCCTCTGGGGCCGCCGGCTGCCCTGGGGAACCTGTGTGCACAGGCCAGACTCCGGCCTGTGCATCGCCCGGCCCCTGCAGCCCGGCTGTGCTGGGGAGCCACTCATCTTGCCACCAAGCCCCGCCCACGCTCTGCTGTTCCCACCCCCGAGCGGCAGCCTCCCGCAGACACACAGGCCCACGGCCGCCGGTCCCCGCTGGGCACACCCGAGTGCCCACCCCACCTGGCCCCACTCCCCACCCGTGGGCTGCCTGCCACAGCCAACCACACCCACTGCCTCTGGGCACCCCCCACCTGGCCCTTGGGGACCCTCTCCTCCTCCCAAGACAAGACACCTGCTTCCCTATGGCCTCCCCTCTCGTCCACACTGCTGCCCCCGCTCCAAGCCCAGCCCAGCCTCTGAGACGCCCGGGTGGTGGCCAGGACCTCCCGCCCACCGCCGCCACCCAGGGGCCTGCACTCACCCAGGAGCATGGGCTGAAACTGGAGGTCAACCCTCTGCCCTCCAGGGCCCTTCCTGCCGTCCCGGTGGCCATCAGGCCCTCAGCCCCACTTCTTGAATCCCCCCCACCCATCACTGCCAGACCCCCGGACCCCCGGACTCCGTCCGCATCTCCCCACACGCTGCTCCTGGGGCTTGCCTCCCCCCCGCCGCTCCTGTCCTCTCACAGCCACCCCAGCATGCCCACCCCGTTCCCGGGCCCCGGCCTTTACACAGGCAGCCCCTCCCTGGGCCCAGAGCGTCCCCCTCAGGCCAGCCGTTCCCGTGATGGCCAGAGCCCCAGCTGCGTCCCAGCCTCGGCCGTTTCGTTCCTGCCTTCCCTGGCTCACCCGCTCCTTCCTTCCTTCCCTCCTTCCCTCCTTCCTTCCTTCCTCCCTTCCTTCCCTCCTCCCTTCCTTCCCTCCTTCCTTCCTTCCTTCCTCCCTTCCCTCCTTCCTTCCTTCCTTCCTTCCTCCCTTCCCTCCCTCCTTCCGTCCTTCCGTCCTCCCTCCCTCCCTCCCTCCCTCCCTCCATCCCCTCTCCCACGGGGTCTGCAGCAGGCTTGGCTCCGTGCCCCGCCCACGACCTCAGCCCTGGCGGGCAGAGCGCTGGCGGGGCTCCGGGGCAGGGGGCAGGGCAGGGCTCGGGGCTGGCAGCGGGGACCCGGACTGGGTGCCAGTCACACTGTCCAGGGCGCGATGGCAGGACCAGCTGCGGCGCCAACGCTGAGCCCAGGGAGTGGCCGCCAGGGGGTCTGCGAGAGGCCTGCGGCCCCGGGTGGAGTGGGCAGTGCGGGTGAGCAGCGGCGGGAGCAGCGAGCCAGGCCAGGCGGGCCTAAGGGCACCGCTGCAGGCCACCCGCCCCACGGGGCCCCTGGCTGTCCCCCCGCACCTGGGCGCCGGCAAGCAGGGCGCTCCTCCTGGCTCCCAGGAGACCCCACGCCACCCGCTCAGGTAGGGTTACCGCCACCCTGGCAGAGCCCCGGGCTCCGGTTACCTGTTCCCGCAGGGACGTGCGCCCGCCCGCCCACCCGCCCACGGGGGCCCCGCCGCCCGCCAGCTGGGCTCCCTGCACCTGCACGGCAGGAAGCCGTCCAGAGTGAACCTGAGCCTCCCTCGGCGCGGCCCCGCCGCCGCTGCTCCCGGCTGCCTCCAGGACTCAGTTTCCCCTCTGCAACGACAACCTGCCGTCCCCCCCTCCAGGGACGCAGGGGCACCCGGCTGCCGGCCCCACAGCCCGGCACAGCAGGAGGGCTGACGGGTCTGGGCTGGGCCTCAAAGGGGTCCTGCCATCCCAGGGCCGGGGTGGGACAGGACTCCTACGAGCAGGCAGAGGGACCCTGGTCCCTGGGAGGCCCACCAGCCAGCTGACCTCGGTCCCTGGAGGTCTGGCCACAACACATCCTGCCAGCCCGCCCTGGTCCACCCCACGCTGCACGGCAGATCCCCCTCCCCCACCCAACCACCAGACCGCCTCCTCCCCAACCCTGACCCCCAAGGCCAGGTCCAAACTCTCCATCTGACCCTAAGACAGGGGTGACCAGGCAGCAGCCCAAAGACAGAGGAATGGCAGAGGCCCACATGTACCACGTACCCCGCAGCTCTGGACACCCCCCGACCCAGTGCGACACTCCACAGCCAGAGCTCCCCACACCACGAGGACCCTGCACAGCCCCAAGCCCACCGCCCAGGGCTCAGGCTCCAGCCTGGCCTCCTCCCCGCCCAGACCGACCGCATCAGCCCTCCGGCCCCCCACGGAGCGGAGCTGGTGCCTGCGGTGCCAGGAGCTCTGAGCGCAGATACATTTCCTGAAACCCGAGCTTTGGAGAGGCCCGGGCCTCCGCGGCCATTGTCACTGGAGGGGTGGGGAGGGGCCGCCTCCCCACAAGGCCCTGGGCCCCTGGGCAATGGCAGGAGGCATGGGCCACAGGCCCACCCCACTCAGGAACCCAGACACCCACACCAGACCGGCCAGGGCCCTGCCAGGGGGCACCCCGCCCACCCCACCCTCGGGCCCCTTGCTGTGAAGAGGGCTCCCAGCATCTCATCAGCCGGACCTTGCGAGTCGACTGCGGCAAAGCCCAGACTGGGCCGAGCCTAGTCACACCTGGGGACCAGGACAGGCTCCCCAGCTCACCTGGGGTCGGAGGCTGAGAGACCCTGACCACCTGGCTCTGAGGGTCGGGGGTGAGGACCCTGGCTCGGGCCTGGGGTTAGGGATGCTTGTCTCCAAACCCTCGGTGGCCCAGTCTGCCTCCATGCAGACCCCACAGAGCCCGACACAGTCCCCGAGACCACAGTCCCTTCTGGGACCCCCTGCCTGAAACACCGCAGGGACCTCTTCCCTGTCAGCTGCGGCCTGGGCCCACAGCCCGGCCCCCAAGGCCGAGGGACACAGCCCGCCCACGTCCAAGCCCTCCCAGTGGCCCCCCTTTGCTGAGCCCCGTCCAGCAGGACCCCTGGTCCCTGAGGGAAAGGTGTTGGAAGGAAGCAGGGGGCCCAGCGGGGGGGGTCCCTGAGACCCCAGGAGAGGGTGAGATGGGGTGGGAAGGGAGTCAGGGCTCCCCCAGCTCCTGGGGGGCGGGGCAGGAGCGCAGGCAGGGTGATGCTCTCCCCTGCAGGGACGGCACTGGTGCCCGGCACGGGCCTCGGCTGGGCCCGCCGGGGGCTGGGGCCCGTGCCGCTGCCAGGCTGTGATGGCTGGAGGCGGGGGCTGAGCCCTGTGCCCACCTCCCACCAGAGCCCCTTCTTCGGCACACACCGCTCTGAGGGGCCCAAACCCCACCCCCGTGCACACGGCCTCCCGAGACGCCACAGCCCCCTGGGGACCACGCGGCTTTGGGCTGGGCAGCCGCGGGGGAGACGAGCAGGCTGGGGGCCGGGCTGGGGGCTACGTGCACCCTGGGGAGAAGCAGCCCCCGGAGCTGCTGCCGCCCAGGGCCGAGGGTCGGCCGCGCCGTCAGGAAGGGGGTCACACCAGGCCCACCCGTGACACGCAAGGGGCCCAGGCCCACCCTGGGTGTCCCCGAGACTCCAGCGTTGCCGCCCACACACCGGCAGGAAGGCACGGCCTGCAGCACCCCCTGCCCCCGCCCTCCATTCCCGCACCTGGGGTGCAGCCCCGGCTGCCGCGCTGCCCCTCCATCACCCAGTTCCTCGGAGCCCACCCCATCGGGCCCACTGGACACCCCTGGCCACCTGCCAGGCCCAGAGAGCACATGCGCGCCCTCCTGCACACCGACCTTCAGACGGTCAGCTGGAGGCCACTCTGGGGCCGACGGGTGTCCCTGAGCCCCGGAAGGCCGGGGAAGAGGCTGGGCCCTCTGTGGGGCGGGGCCAGGAGAGCAGGGCAGCTGCCACCCCCAAGGCCCAGGCCAGGCCCTCCTGGGAAGGCTGCGCCCGACTTCAGCCTGGACACCGGCCCACCCAACTCGCCGGGGCCCTGGCAGAGGCCGGGGTGGGAGGACCAGGGTCGCTCAAGGGGCCGGAAGGGTCACTCTAGGGGCCGGAAGGGCAAGGCGCCCAGACCAGCTCCCGTTCTGCGGCCCTAAGGACGGGGGGTCAGCTCTCTGGACTCCTCCTAGAGGCCCATGTTCCCCTCCAGCTCCCTCCAAGCCCTCCGCCTGTCCCCACTTCAGGGAGCCCCAGGGTCCACGCTGGCCCTGAGTAGGAGGCCCCCCCCACCCGACCACTGAAGGTCGAGACACCTATGGCCCCCAGGGAGCCCAGGCACAGGCCCTGCTGTCTCCGTGGGAGAGGAGCCCCCAGCGGGCACCCGAGGCTCCACACAGACCCCAGCCCGGCAGGCAGAGTGGGACCTGCGCAGGCCGAGGTGGCGCGGCCCCGGGGCGGCCGCAACGCTCGGAGATACCAAGGCACTGGCGTCACTGCACGCCGCCGCACGGCTGCACGGAGGGGACAGGCGCTGCGCCTGAGCACGCACGACCCGCGGCCCGGTCCCTACCTGGGGCCGAGCCACGTGGCCCTGCCCGGGGCGCCAGAGGGGGAGGCTGCGAGCGGGAAGAAGGGGAAGCGGCCCCAGACCCACAGCCCAGGGCCCAGGGCCCCCGGGAGGCGAGGGCCCGCCCCACCCCGGCCCACGCCTGGCTGGCCGGTGGGGCCCAAGAGCCACGAGGGACCCGCGCTGGCCCGCCACATTCCTCGGGGCCTCCCCGCCCCCACGCCGCGGCTGCCAACTCGAGCAGAAAACACATCCTCAGGTAGCGATTCGAAGCCGCCCTGGCGGGAGCCCAAGCACACACGGCAGGCTGCGGCCCTGCTCAGACCTGCCTGCCGCGCGGCTGCGGGGGCGAGGGGCGGGCGCGTCGGAACTGCCCGGGGCCTCCCAGGCTGCCCCTGCCTCCTCCCGCTCAGACGCACATTCCCCTCAGGGGCCCTGGGGTCGAGGGGGACCCCAGAAGCCAGCCGGGCTCAAAGGGCGGCGCAAGGCCACAGCCGGGGGGCCGAGGGAGCCTCCTCATCCGGAGGGCGGTCAGGAAGGGGTGAGGATGAGGGCTGGCGGAGAGGGAGGTGCCAGGCAGGGCTCCCACGGGCTAGGTCCCGAAGGTCCGACCTTGGCCAGCCCGGCCTCGGGGGCACCAGGTGGCCACATTCCTTCCGGCCAGACGCCCTGGGTCAGAAGGTGGGGCCCCTCCATCACAGTCTGACACCCTGTGGCTGCGACTCCCCACTCACCAGCCCTCTTCGAGCCCCCCTGCCCCCCCACAGCTGGCTGCTCCTGACCTAGCGGGGGTCCTGCCTCAGGGGTCCTCCGCATTCCTGCCCCACCCAGTCCCAGGGCTGCAGCCCAGAGACCCGCCAGTGCCAGCCGGGCGGCGGTTCAGAAACAGACCGCACCGGCACCCGAGCACCAGCTCTCCCTCACGCGGCCCCCTGCCCACCTGCCCTCGCCCTCACCCACCATGGCCTGGGGCCACACCCCTCCCAGCATCCCCAGGCCCGGGGCTGCTGCCTGACTGCCCAACCCCCAAGTCGGGGCACCTAGGCCCCTGTCTCTTCCTGGAAGTAGGGGGCGAGGTGGGGGAGGCTGGACCAGCACCGGGGGCTGCAGTCAACACACGTGCATTAAGTCCTCCCCAGCCCAGCCCCCAGCCCAGCACCCCCATCCCCACCCCATCCGCGGGCATCCAGGAAACAGCAGGGCGAGCGCAGGCTGGCCGCCGGCCCAGGGCGGCTCCGCCAGGGCCTGCCCCATACCAGCCCCAGCACGCGCGGCGCACATGCCTCTGCGGCCTGCAGGGGCCCAAGGCGTCTCTCAAGGCCTCTCCACCCAGACAGACACGCGCACAGCGACGCAGGCACACGCCGAGGGCTGCCGCGCACGCGGGCCGCAGCCACCCCGCCCCCACCGCGACCCCCGCGCGCCCACGTGGCGGGGCGCGGACGGAGCCCCACGTAGCACGCGCCTGGGGTCTGCCCGCCGTGCGGCGCCCCCTGCCGGGCCCGCCCCGTCTGGGCGCGCGCAGACTCACGCAGGGCCGGGGTCGCAGGTGCCAGAGGGTCCGCGTGCAGGGCGGGGGCCCAGACGCGGAGGGAGAGGAGAGCTGGGGCCCAGGGTAGAGGCGCACGTACCGGCCAGGCGAACTGGAAGGGGATGACGACGAGGCCCGGGTCCTGGTCGCCGCCAGCCCGGGCCCGCGCCCGGTCCCCCGCGGCGCCCGCCGGCGGCAGGTAGAAGGAGTTGCCTCCCAGCACGGGCGTGGCACCGTGGCCGTAGCTGCAGGGCCCCGTGGGCGTCACCTTGGCCTGGTACTCCTTAAGGCACACGCGAACGTACGTGTCGCACTCGTCGTGGCCGCAGCCCCCCGCGCGCGTCGTCCGGCCGTCGCCGTCACAGCAGGCGCCGTTCAGCAGCTCCCCGTTCGCGTTCCGCAGCGCGCTCAGCCGCAGCTCGAAATAGCCCATGGGCCGCGCCGCCTAAAAATAAGGCAGAGAGCGCGCGAGGGAGGCGCGGGCCGGGGTCGCGAGCGGGCGCCCCGCCCCCACCCGTCCTCCAGCCCCCGCCGAGCCCCGGCCCTGGCGCGCGGCCCCGAGGGTTCCCGAACGCAGCGCTCACAGGCGGTGCCGCCCGGCCCCGAGGGACGGCTCGGTGCGCCCCGTCCGCGCCCCCTCGCTCACCTGCACGCAGAGCGCCAGCAGCAGCAGCAGCGGCCGGGGCAGGCGCCCCCGGCCCCGCGCCCGCATCTCCGCCTCGACCCCGCTCGCCGCCGCCACCGCCGCCGCCCCTGCGCGTCCGGCCCGGCCCGGCCTCCCTGCGCCCGCGCGCCCTCCGAGCGCCGGCAGCGGCAGCGGCGGTGGCGGCGGGCGGGGTCGAGGCGGCGCCGCGCGGGTCTGGGCGGCGGCGAGCGCGCAGGAGCTGCGGGCTCGGGCTCGCAGGCGGCTGCGCTCCGACCAGGCTTGGCTCCCTCCCGGCGGCGGCAGCGGCGGCGGCGAGCGGCGGCGGGTCCCGGCCTCAGCTCTGAGCGCCCGCGCTCCCGGCGCCCGCAGCCAACAAGTTCGGGACGAGACTGACAGCTCGCTCGCCCATTCGTCACCCACGCACCTGCATATGCATGAGGGGGCGGGGCAAAGCAGTGGGGTGGGGCTGGGGAGGGTGCCTGGGCGCCGGGGCTTTAAAGGCGGCGGAGGGCGCCTCCCGCTAGCGTCCGGCCCTGCGCGCGCTTCTCCGGACGATGGGACCGTGGGGCTCCGGTGACGCTTCGGCCGAGCCCGGCGAGGAGGGACCGGTGCCGCAAAGCGGTCTCGGCACGCCCGAGCCCCGCCGCCGGGTGTCATGAGCCGGGGGGTGGGGCGCCCCCTGAGGTCACCGCCGTGGTCCCCTCCCATCAGTGCGCGGCCGCTGCGCTCCTCGAAGTCTCAGAGGAGCGATGCCGCCTCCGGCACAAATCAGGGCTCGGCCCCCACGCGGGGCGGGCGCGGGCTGGGACCGAAGCCGGGCCCAACCTACTGTGCGCCCCCTTCCTGGGGGAGGGTCCCCGCTGCGCCGTTCCCACAGCCTCCACGCCGGCCGCAGGGGGCGCTGCTCCCCACCGGCGCCAGCGGCTTCCTCGCTGCCTCCGCTGGTGGGTCCGGGAGCCAGGCAACAACTGCTCCCAGGCGCAGGCTGTGTGCAGCTCCGCGCTGGCGCAGGGTCGCCAGAACACTCTGGAAGAGTGCCCAGGCCAGGGTCTGGGATTGGGCGAGGGCAGTAAAGGACGGCGCTGCACACCCAAAAGGACAAGGCGAAATCCACCCGAAGAGTCTCCTCTCGCTGTCCCTGTCGCCAGCCCCCTCGTCCACTTTGTTGCCCCACGTCCACGGAGTCAATACCATGAGCTCCTTGTCTCCAGACATCACCTACCCTCCAGGAAGCAGGGTCCTTCCAGGGCTGGGATGGCCTTGGCCATTAGTGACCGCATGTTCTACAGGAGTCTTCTGGCCCCACCCCCACAATAAGTGGACGGTGTCCCCTCCCTTGGACCCTCCAGCAAATCTGTCGGTGGGGGGGGGGGGCCTTGGGCTGGGCGCTGGGGGTGCAGGCCACTGCCTGGAGCTAGTCCCTCCCACAAACAGGGACATGGAAGGCTTCCCGGAGGAAGGGAGCTTTGAAGGAGACTGGTTCAGGGCCTGGGGGTGGGAAGAAGGAGCTCAGGGAGGAGCACAGGCTCTGCTCTGTGTCTAGAGGACATTCCTGAGGTGTCCCCGTAAGGCCCTGGTGCCCTGGGAGTGAACACTGCCACCCCCAGGTTCACCGCCCCACGCACGCTGAGCAGCCCTGCCAGGACCCAGGCCTCAGGAGCAGCTGGGGGCCCCTGGAGGGTGAGCCTGGCTCTGCTCACTCCGGGAGCTCATCCCCCCTACCTCTGCAGGCTGGGTGGGGGCAGAGCACACAGAGACCCCCCAAAGGAGGGCCTGCGGGCTGTGCTCAGAGCAGCCCTTTCTTCCTGCAGGGGCGGGGGGCTCACGGTGGAGGCCCTGCCCTTTGCTCTGGCCTGGAGCAGGTAAACCCAGGTACTCTAGGCCCTGAGTGGAAGAGGAGGCCCCCAGTGCCAAGGGTCCTGAGCTCCATCCCTGCCTGTCCCCCTGACCATTCCCACTGCCCCACTATCCACAGATACCCTGGGCTCCTCTGCCCCTGTCTGCCAAGCAGGGACCAAGGCAAACAGGCTCTGCCCACCCTCAGGGGCTCCCGGTCAAGGGCAGACAGAGAACTTGGACGGATCCTTTAGAGCGACACACTGCGAGGGTGAGGAAGGCCAGTGACCCAGGGAGGGGCCTCCTGAGACAGAGGGCAGACAAGGGTCAGCCAGGTGAGCAGCTGGGCTAGACATGCAGAGGCCCTGAGGCTGAGGGAGCTGGACCCCAGGGAGGGCCTGTGTGGTTCGCACAAGGGCTGTGGCTGGGGAGGTGAGGGGCAGAGGTGGGGGGAGCCAGGCTGAGCCGGGCACTGCCCACCCCCACCAGTCTTCCTGCTGAGGCCAGTGGGAAGTCCCGGAAAGCAAGGGAGGGGGTGGGCTCCACCTGGAGACTCACAAAGACCCCTGGCTTCGGGGGAGGGGCAGCAGGGAGGTGCCAGTGAGGCCAGCAGCCGGCCGGGTAGGGCCTGCGGCTGAGAGGCTGAGGACCCGAATTCCAGAGTAAGCGAGAAAACAGTCCCCTCCCCGTGTGCCCTTGGCTCGCCCACCCCGGGAGGCAAGGGTGGCCTAGGCTGGGAGCCTGCAGAAGCTGCTGCGTGTCTCTGGGGGGCCGTCTGGCTGTGGGGCAGCAGGCCAGGCGCTCGCTGCATCTCCTGCATCTCGAGATTCAGGCTGCGTCAGGAGACACAGCCTCTCAGGGGCCTGCCCGGCCCTGGAGTGCACGGAGCCCCTGCCTGCCCTGTGAAACCAAGCAGACAGTGGCCCAGGAAATCATTGGGGAGCGGACCAGGGTCCCCTTGGGGGGGGTGCCGCAGCTGGGTTGAGTGTCAGGGCAGAACCGGGGCCAGCAGGCCCAGGGCCGCTGTCTGTGGGCCAGGCTCCCCGCGGGCACAGGGCCCTCCTGCTCGCCGTCCCCTCCCTTCCCCTCCGGCCTCCTGGCAGCCACATCCCAGAACCTGGGGGCGCTCGGGGGGCGCTCGAGTTGGGAAGGTGGCCTCTTCAGAGGAGGGGTGGGCCCTGGAGGCTGCCTGGAGACAGGAACCCCCTCTGGGTGCCCCCGGCAGGGATTTCTGCCGCCTGGGCCAGGGCCTGGAGATCCAGCAGGGTCAGTGCCCCCGCCTCCACCGTGGCCAGGCCAGGCTGCCCTGCCTCTTCCAGGGGTGTCCCCAGCGTCGTGCTGGGGTGCGCCGAGCCGCAGCTCCCCTCAGACCCCAGTTCCATGGGCCCCTTGCCTGGGAACTCAGGCGCCGGGCTCCCAGCCCCCGGGGCCCGGGGGCAGGCTCTGTGCTGCGTGCTCGCTCGGCTGGCGCTGCGCACAGCAGGGTGGGCTGGGGCCCACCCCGGCGGGGCTTTGGGACCAGGCTGGGGTGCAGGCTGCTGGGGCTTTGGTCGGAGGTGGCTGGGCTTAGGAGGGAGCTGTGCTTCCGTCTCATTCTGCGGTGCTAAATATAGCGGCCAGGGAGGGGAGTTTCCGGTTACAGCCCCCCCCACCCCAGTGCCGGGAAATCGATGCCAGTTCCATTAGGCTCAGCAGCGGCGCCTGTGACCTGCCCCGAGGCCACCGAGTCAGGGGGCCAGACTGCACCCTGTCCCCAACGCTGGCCACACCGGACCAGAGCCCAGCCCATGGGCCACGGCACAGAGATCCCACAGGCCCTGCCAGACGCACCTCCAAGGCAGTGTGGCCCGCAGCCCAGAGGGCCAGTGAGCTCGGGGGTGGGTAGTGGGAGTGCAGGCTGCCTGGCAGCCGGCGGGTGGGGCAGCCCTGGGCTGGGCGGAGCTCCGGCTCCGGGCGGGCCGTTCCCAGAGGAACGGCTCTGGGCTCCCCCACGCCCTGCCAGGACAGTCCCTTGCACACAAGGGCCCAAAGGCCCCTCCCCAGAAGCATGGCGCTCACCTGGCTGGGCTCCCGGGAGGCCCCACCTGGGACACGGAGGGCATTTGCATACAGGTGATGCTGCTCGGGTGGGTCAACTGGGCACGGCCTCCTCAGGACAGCCCCAAACACCAGGCCCAGGGGTTGTGCCCCTCGGGCTGGGCTCAGCCACCGGTGCTGCCCAGGCCCGGAAAGTGAGGGACCTGGGTGCCCCTCCGAGAGTGCTCACAAAAGCACCTGCCTGCCTGCCTGGGGCCAGTCTGGAGAAGGGTGGGGGAGGGCACCCAGCAGGAGGTCCTTGGCCCTCTTGGGGTGCCCCCACCCAGCAGGTGCCAGAGGCAGCGTGGCCTGGCCCTGTGCCTCCCACAGTCACAGCCCAGGGCCCAGGTCCACGACCCAGGCTGCCTCAAGCTGCCTCCCAGGGCAGCACATGAGGGGCCGACCGGAGGGTTGTGGGGGCCCGACGGAGGAACCAGGCCAGGTCACCACCCTCAGAAAGGGTCAGGCCAGGCCCCCACAGCCAGCTTACGCCCACGACCATGGTGACCAGCACATACTCGCCACAGTGGGCTCCAGCCTACCCAGGATGGGCTGAGCCCCCCTGGCTGAGTGGGTGCCAGCCCTCCTGTGACCCCAAGGGTTCGGGGTGTCTGGAGAGCAGCCGGCAGCCCCAAACCCCCATCAGGCCAGTGCAGGGCGGGGCTTCAGGGCCACACACAGGCAGGCAGGTGGAAGGACACCGCACCACAGGCTCCGGTGGCCTGTGGGACACAGGGGCTCCGGTGACGCCTGCCCACCAGGGTGGGGCACCTCACTCTCCCCGGAGCAGGAAGCCTGCCGACACAGTCCACGGTCCTATCCCCCTCCTCCTGATGCAGGCTGGCTCAGCTGCCACCCCCCAGGCCCTAGTTCACTCCTCGCCCTGAGTGGCTGAGCTGCCCTCCCTGAGTGCGTGGCCCGCCCCTGCGGCCCTGCCCTGAAGCACAGCTGCAGCTGAGGCATGTGCTGCACGGAGCTGAGGGACCCCCCTGGAGAGCACACCACCCCTGCCCGCCCTGCCTGCCCCTCGGAGCCAGTGGACACAGGCTGGAGCCGTACAAGCCTTTATTGAGTCTGCAGGGGTGGGTGGCCGGGAGCGGCCTCGTCCAGCCCTCTGGAGTGTCACTGGGGGTCCAGGCCGGGGGCCACACAGCTGAAGAACCAAGAGATACCGAAGATGACGCCGAGGGTCTTGGGGACGTCCGGGTTGTCTGAGAAGGCCTGGGCGCCCGCCAGGGGCAGGTGCACAACCTCGATGAGCTCACCCTCCTCGGCCAGGCCCCCGCCAGGGCCGCCCCGCTGGGCATCGGTCACCTCTGCATAGAACATGGTCTGGCTGGAGCCGGTCAGTCCCACGCCGGACCTGTGGGTCGAGACAGCGTCCACTGAGGCACTGTGCAGGGCCCGCTGGCCCTCTCCACTCCGTGCCCCCCCCTCTGGGTGGGATTTCAGGGGCCCCACCCGTGCACCTGTCAGCTTTGAAGATGCAGCGAGCTGCACGCTGTGAGGGGCCACACGGCAGGCACTGCACGGCCTCGAGGAGCTGACCGTGGTCCCGGCTGACAGCCAGCCAGGACAGAGCCGCAGCCGCAGCCGCAGCCCCAGGAGCGGGGAAGGGCACCTGAGCCCCAGGGCAGACAGTGGACCCAGCAGCCGAGACCCTGAGGGGCGGACCCAGACCACCAGCCCAGGCCCCCTGGAGGCTGCGGCGGCTAAAGCTGGTCAGCCTCCGGGGCTGTCTGGAGCGCAGCCCCTCCTGTCCATGCTCGCACAGGGCCCCCTTCCCCACTTGGGCGCATCCCCCTGCCCCGACCCCCGGCTGCCGAGCTGCTGGACTCCCACCCGCACCCAGGGATCCAAGCTGGCCGCAAGCAGGGCCTAGGCCTGGGAGACCCCCACACTGTCACCTGCAGGGCACCAGGCTGGGGGCGGCAGGTGCCCAGGCAGCCCAGGCACGGAGCTGGGGCTCACGGTAGTGGTGGGGTGGGGCGGGGCGGCAACAAGGTCCCCCAGACCAAGCCCATGGGTCCCTGGCTGCAGAGGAGCGTGAGTTCCCTTCGTAGTGGGTGGTGGCCACAGGAGGGGACAAGCACCCAGGCAGAGGGCAGTGGCCCAGACTGGCAGGTGGAGGGCAAGAGTGGGCAACGTGCTGACTGCTGGCTGTGAGGGCAGGGTGGTCACCAGGCTGGCCTGGCTCCCCGCGCAGGAGAGGGAGGCCCACAAGTGGTGTGCAGGGAGGGGGACCGGGCCTCCGGGAGCTGTCCGGGGAAGCCAGCGGGGAGGCTCCGGGTCAGCCCGGCCCGGGGCGGCTGCCCTTGGAGCTGCGCCCGAAGCACAGGGCAGGAGCCCGACGGAGGGGGGGCCGCCACGCCCACGTCCCGGAGGGCCCCCACACACTGACCTCGCCCAGCTGCTTCCTCTGCCCTCCGCACCCTCATCTCCCTCAGACCCTCCCCGTGGCCCGTTTCCGCCGGCGGCACAGCCTGCCCTTTGATGGGAGCCGTCTCAGGAGTTTCCAGTCGCGGTTTCCTCCGGCCTGTGAAGAGAGCGGCACGGCCTGGGACACGCCCAGCGGCCGGGCTCCGCCTCTGCCTCCTCACCCGGCTGCTTCAGTCGCTGGCTGAGCTCAGCCGGGCGCTCCAGACGCCTGGCAGCGGGGGCCTGGCTCGCCCCGGGGCGATGGGGAGGAAGCCCCGGGCCCCGGGCCGGGCAGCGTGAGCCCTGCTGCTGTGTGTCCAGCCCTCGTGAGCCCCACGGGGACGGCTGCCTCCCCACGGGTGTATGTCCCCTCCGACACACACGTCTCAGCAGCTGCTCACTGTCCGCAGCCTCCCTTGGCTCCCCAGCACCCTCACACTGGGCTGTAGCCCTGAGGCCCCGCTTGGGGAGCCGCGGCCACCCAGCCGCTGGCCCACCCGCCCAGAGCCCCTGCCAGGACCCCACCAGGCTCACCTCCTGGGGGCAGCCCCTCCGAGAACCTCCCACCTGCCTTCTCCTTGCCCACCCCCAGCCCAACCTTCACCCCATGGCAGGCCCCCTGGAGTCTCCCCATGCCCAGCAGGCCTCGGGGACAAGGAGCCACTCCCTGGCCACCCGGACGATACCTGCAGAATGCTGAGGCCACTCACACCAAGACATCCAACCCTCTGGCACGTTTAACATGGAGGACCCTATGCCTCACCCCCTTCCTGGGACTGGAGATCAGCTCTGACCCCCATAAGTGCAGGCTGGGGGACACCCCAACGAGGCCTTGGGGGCTGCTGAAGCAGGGAGGCCCCGGCCCAACACTGCATGGCCCTGCGCTGGGCTGAGAGGAGGCAGAGCCCCCAGGCCCTCCCCCTGGGGGGGAGGCCCCGCCCCCTGGGGAAGGCCCCACGCAGGACCCTGAGGGGCCTCCTCCTGCCCCGGGGTCAGGACCCATCACAGTGTCCCCAGGGTGGGGGGTGGGCATCGTTCCAACATCCTGTCCTGGAAAGAGGGACCCAGAGATGGGCCTCCTGGGGGGTGTGCGGTGGGGGGCACCTGGGCTTTGGTGGGCCAGGCCCTGAAGTCCAGGGTCCAGGCCACACCTCCCTGCTTCCCAGGAGTGCAGGGGCCCCTCCGGGCGGGGTGAAGCCCTTCCCTCCTTCCGGAGCCACTGTCGGGGCAGATCCGTGACTCACCCCCACCCCCCTCGCTCAGGGCTTAATCCCGCAGGAAGTGGAGGCATCTGTCGGTGGCAGCTGCCACCGGGCAGGGGCCTCGGGGCGGGGCAGGCCCCTGAACCAGCTCCCAGAGCCCCGACTCCAGCCTGGATCTCCTCTGGGTGCGCTCCATCCAACTGTCCCCAAGCCCCTCATAAAAAAGGGGGCACGGCCCTGCCTGCACACCCCTGGGGACAGGAGTGCGCGCCTGCGGGCAGCCGTTCCCACCCCCAGGCGGCGCTGCGGGCAGGTGCCCCGCCCCCGCCAGCCTCGCAGGCCCAGCCCCACTCACTTGTAGGTGGCCACGCGGCGCAAATCGGCCGGCGCCAGCCGGTAGCCGCACTCCTCCCAGGCCTCCTTGCAGGCCGTCTCCTCCAGCGACAGCCCGGGCTGGTCCACGAGGCCGGCACACAGCTCGAACGTCACCCCGGCCGAGCCGGGCAGCGCCGCCGGCAGCGCCCGGGGCCCGTCCTGGTCCACGGCCACCAGGGACCCTGGGAAGCGGCGTTCCACCTCGCCCGCATACACAGCTGGTTAGGGGAAGGCAGACCATGGTCACAGCCACGTGGCAGCCACCTCCCGGTGTGCCAGACCCCGCCCCGGGCCTCAGTCTCCCCTGGGGCTCCCCCGACACCTGCATTCTGACCACAGGACCACAGGGGCCTGGACACAACCTGCCCGGCGCCCCTCCGCCCTCGCCCACCCCGGCGGCCTTACCTGGCCGGAACTGCTTCACCAGCACCAGACTCCTCCGCGAAGAGTTGAAGAGCAGGATGGTCACACTGGGCAGGGTGGGCGGGGCTCAGCGCAGGAGCCACGCCCACCTCAGCTCCCCAGTCCCTGGTCCCCATTCCCGCCTGGCCCAGCCCACCTCCTCTGCCCAAGCACCCCGGAAAAGCTGGGCTCCTTGCTCAGGTGGGGAGAGTGAGGCCCAGGCAGGGCCAGAGCCTGCCAGGGTCATGGTCAGGCTCAGTCCCAGCTGGCAGGATCGGGCAGCAGGACAGGGAAGACATGTTGGGAGGCTGGGGGCCGGGTGACGGACGTGACATGTGGTCCCTGTTGGCCAGCTGCCTGCTGGCCACACTCCTGGAGCCATGTCACTGTGTAGCCCATGCCCCAGTGCTCGGGGCCAGGGCACCCAGGTGGCCTTTCTCAGGTCCACCCTAGGACCCAGCTCAGCCCCCAGCCTTGGGGGGACCCTCAGTGAAGGGAAAGAGAGAATGGGGATGTTCGTGGGGGATACACAGAGGCAGAGGCGGGGTAGGGCCCCACGGCCCCCGTTCCCAGGGTCCCCGTGGGCATCGGAGTGGCCCAGACTGGATGCTCACCTGTCGTGTGTTTTCACGAAGTCCCACGACTTCTGGGCACCATTCTGAAAGAGGCAGGCAGCGGTCAGGGTGGGCAAAGGGCTGCCAGCTCGGGTGGAGGTGCTCTGGGCAGCTGGAGGGGCCCACAGGCCCACGTGCCAGCTCTGCTCAGGGAGGCCCACTCACAGCCTGGGCTCACGGGAGCCTCGAGGTCCTGCCAGCAGGGCAGGGGGCAGCCGGGCTGCGCAGGGAGGCCAAGGGCAGCCTGATGATCTGTGGGGTGAGACAGAGAAACAGGGCAGAGGAAGGAAAGGCATCCCAGGCCCAGTGTGAGCACACCCAACGCAGGGGGAGCCCAAAGTGACGTACGCTGTCACCAAGTGTGGGCAGGGGCAGGGAGGGAAGTCCCAAGCAGGCAGAGCAGAGACAGGGTTCCCACTGCTGAAGACTCCCAGGCCACGGGACGAAGGGAGGTGGGAGGGCAGGAGGGGCAGCTGGCAGCCTGAGCGGGCGCCAGCCCCAAGAGCAGTAGGGGCAGGGTGAGCAGGACGTGGGGATTGCACGATGGTGGCTGGACGGTGGGACAGCCCCCTCTCCGCATTCTCTCAAGCATCCCGAGGTCCTGCTGCTTCGTCCCTTCTCCCGCCACCCTGCTCCCGGGCCCTGGGCGCCCTGCCCTGACGGGCTCTGGGCAGCTCTCAGCGTGTGCAGGAGGTAGTGTGGGGCAGGGCCTGGCCGAGCCCGCTGGGGGCAGACAGAGAGGACACTAACGGGGTGCAGCAGGCAGGAAGTGCCCGGGATCCTGCCAGCTGGACACCCCTGGGTGACACGGGCCGTTCCACCCAGCCCCACCTCCTTCCCTAAAGGTCTCTGTGGGCAGGACTGGACCCTAGGGCCTTAGGGCCCTCCCTGTGGCTGCCCATCACCAGCCCCTCAGTCACTGGTCAGCCAGAGGCCCTGGTGAACTGTGGGCCCACCCTGGGGGTCTGTCTAGGCCAGGAAACGCCAGGGACCTGGGCACCAGAGACAAAGAGAGGTGGCCAGGGCTACAGAAGAGAAAGGACACTGAAGGACAGCCTTCGTGGGAACTCCTGGGGGAGGTGACACTGCACCAGGCCCCGCAGAAGGAATGCTGGGGCACTCCAGGCAGGAGGACCTCACAGGCAGAGGCCCACATCCTGGCCTCAGCGGGGCTGGGAAGCCTGGGCTGAGCGTGGCCCCGAGGCAGAGGGGTCCTGGAAGGGTGCTGGCAGCCATGGTTCCCACGGGGCAGGGAAAGCTAACGTCCTGCAGCGGGCAGGCTCAGTGCCGGATGCCATCCTCAGGCACTGCCCCCCAAAGCAAGCGGGGCCTGATTGCAATTCGGCTGCCCAGAGGCCACCCACCCACCCAGGACAGCCTCCAGGTGCCCACTGCCTCCCTCAGGGTGCGTGTCACCTGTGCAGGTCTCAGGAACCCCTCAGCTTAAGATCACAATGTCAGCAGCGGGGGTGGGGTGCCACCCCAATGTCAGACCCTCAGGTCCAGCCAAGGCGGGGTGCAAGGGACGGTCTCAGAGACCTGCTAAGGCCCAGTGAGCCCCTCCCATAGGGCCCTGTCTTGTTGGTGGGTCCCAGGCCTGGCTCATCTTCTGGAATGCCTGGAAGGGAGGGACAGGACTGGAGTGGACACAGTCCCCTGCCCCTCAAAGCTACAAGGGTGCCCTGACTCTGGTCCATCTGCCTGTCCACCAGATCTTCCCTGGCCAGGGCAGTTAATGACCAAAGGCTATATATGCCTTGGGTGGTATGCACTGCCCAGCCCAGTCCTGGGCCCCCCATTTGGTGCCCACCCCAGCCCGCTGCCTGAGGGCTCGGCTCTGGTCACCAGCACCCATCAGTGGGGACATCCCCGCAGGCACCCTTCACAGGGGATGGGAGAGAGGGTGCATCCACGGCCCAGCATGTGTGGACCCGGGCCACCCCAGACCCACCTGCTGCCACCTGGAGGCCCAGCCCCTTGGGGGCTGTGAAGCCAGCCAGGCACCCTGCCCCAGGTAAACCGTCATCGGGGTGGCAGTGACCTGCTCCTTCCAGGCCAGTGCTGCCAACACAGGTCTTTTCCAGAGCCCACAGGGCCCCAGCAACGGGGAAGTGGGGGCGCAGAGGCCTCTCTCAGACTGGATCCCAGGGGGCTTCACAGGGCCGATCAGAGGAAGGGGCAAGGGGAGGATGGGAGAGCAGGACGCTGCAGGTCCAGAGGCACCAAACGCGGACTGCTTGTGCTGCCTGAGGGGCAGGAGGCAGGGCGCTGGGGCAGGGGGAGCCGGCCAGTGAAGGGTGGGGACCCGAACCGGACAGAGCAGGCGTGGAAAGATGTGCAGGAGGTCAACGGCTGGGCAATGGGGGAGGGAGGCAAGAGCCACTCATTCAACCCACAAACATCTCTTGTGAACCTCCTAGGTGCCCGGTGCGGAGGGAGGCAGCCCGGCCCTGCGCCCGCGGACCGGCAGATGGAGGCCCCCCCGCAGAGGGGGTCTCCGTTGCTCTCCGCTCCCGCCTCCTCCCTGCCGGGCCTCCAGGAAGCTTTCCTTGATCCCGTAGGACACCAGTACGCCCCACCGCAAAAAGGGCCGGTGCCCAGCAAAGCCTCCTTGGAGGGACGAGGGGTCCCGAGGCGTCCCTGCGGGACCTGGCCCTTAACCCGGAACTCACGAGGTCCCCAAACCCCGACCCGCCCAAGGAGCCCGGGGGCGGGGCTCGCGCTGTGGGCGGGGCTCCACGCTGTGGGTGGGGCTCCGGGCCGCAGGGGCTGAGGGCGGAAGCCGCGGAGGGGCGGGCTCACCTGGCGGTAGTGCAGCGTGAAAGGTTGCAGGTAGGGCGAGGCGGTGCAGCGGCCCACGGCCGCCCCCTCGATGCGCTCCATTGCGGCGCGCGGCGTAGTTCTGGCCGCGGCGGACGCAGCAGAGCTCGCGCCGGCTGGAGCGGACGGGCACGTGACGCAGTTCTGGGCATGCGCGATGCTCGCGGGGCGGGGCCGGGCGCGCGCAGGTAGAGCCTCCGGCGGTTGCGCGCGCGCGCGCGCGGTGGAAGGAGGCAATGTGTGACTTCTGGCGCGGAGGCTCGTGGAGTGTGGGGCCTGGAGAAGCGGGAGGGGACGGGTCCGGGGACCGATCGCCGGTGGTCGAGGACTGGGGTCCTACTGGTTGAGAGAGAGGGCTCCGCGGTGCGGTCCTGCCGGGAAGGAACCGAGTGGTGGCTACCCGCTGGGTGGACCGCAGCTCCAAGGCGCGGTCTCCCAGGGGCGGAGGCTCACCCAGGGAAGGAGACGGGGCCCTGAAGAGAGAAGGGGGTGGTCACGGCTGCCCCGCCGAGCCCGCGACCCCGTGGGAAGGGAAGTCACCGGGACTTCGCACACAGGGGTCGCTGCGCGGACTGCGTGAAGCACAGAATGTGGACACCCCTTGGGGGCCTCGCGGCTGCGCAGCGAGAGGCTCTGGGGGGAGGGCAAGGCCAGAGGAGCGCGAGTCAGGCAGGGAGGGCCAGGTCCTTCCCTCTGGGGTCCCTAGGGTGGGGGCGCTGGCCTGGGCGGACGGTCCGCCTGCCCCGCAGCGGAGGAGCTGCGGTCTCGCTGCTTCTGGGGCTGTGCCTCCCCCCTCAGGAGTCAGCGTGGTTCTCTCCCCCGCGGGGCCCCTCTGCGTGGACCAGGCCCTGGCTGTGGAAGGGCCCCATCCTTCCTGCGTGTGCATGCCACGGATTTGCTCCAAACGTGGCCACTGCCCCCCCAGGGGCAAGTACAGGCGGTGGGGCAGGGAACAAGCCGTCGCCTGCCCTCTGAACTGTGGCCCCAGGAGGGACAGCCCACGTGGGGCTGGCCATGTGGCCTTGGAGTTTGCCCCCGTGTTGCCTGTTGCCCTGTGGGAAAGCGTCCCAGAATTCCGTGGCCTGGAGCACCACTTAGGCCCTTCTCCCACCTGAGAGTGTTGGCCCTGACGGGGCGGGGAGGGGCGGGGCTGCTGCGATCTGCGGGCTGTGGGGGAGGCCCTTCCCGCACGGCTTCTTCGCCCGGGCCTCGTGCCTCAGTGCTGGGGCTGGGGCAGTGGAACCGGCCGGCTGTGTTGCCAGGTGGCCTCTCCAGGGGGGCTGACTGGGGCCCCCCCACCCCTGGCGGCCTCAGCAGCTATTCCGCGGCGGCCAGGTCCCCCAGCACACGGCCACACGGCCAGGCTTCTCCTGACCCAGCCCTGGAAGTCCAGCACCGTCGCTCCCACTGCACAGTGGGTGTCACGGAGAAGGTCCCGGGCCACCCCAGATCCCAAGGGAGAGGACTTCACAAGCTTGGGGGCACTGGCAGGCCTGGTTTGTGGGGAGTATCTCCAGAGCCTGGCCGGCAGGCTGCCCACTCTGGGGGGGGTTGTGCTTCCCAGCCTTGGCCAGGTGCCCTGGTGGCCGGAGAGGCCACCCACCAGACAGTCGGTCCCAGAAGCTGTCCCCCCGGCCCAACAGCCAGGCCAGCTGGGCCTCTTCCTCTGTGCACACAGGGCCCCTGGGTGCTCCCGCCTGCGGTTGTGTGCAGGTGGGAACTGACCACCGAGCGTGCGCAGCGGCGGCGAGAACAGGAGGCGTCTGTCTGCACAGAGCACAGCTTTCCTCGAGTTCGAGTTCGGGGAAGGGACATTCTGTGGTGACGCAAGCGGAGGGGCTGGCAGTGCGGGCATGTGCCTGCGGCGTGCCGTTCCTACAGGGACCGGGCCGGCGGGCTCCTGATGGCTTGGCTCCCAGTGTCTCTCCAGGGGTGGGAGGCGGCTCCAGACAGACACTTGTGCCAACAGCCCCGTCTGCAGCGCTGGAACCCATGTGGCCCTCAACACGTGACAGTAAGCCAGCTGGTCTGGCTACCCGGCGGAGTGTCTGTCACCAGGCAAAGTGACGGCACTGACGCCTGCCCCAGCGAGGGAGGGCCTGGACACGGGCTGTGGGGCAGCCGCAGACCCCAGGGGCACGAGTGCCAGGGTCCATTGTGGGAAGTGTCCCGGACACGTGAAGTCATGCAGGCGGGAAGCGGATTAACGGTTGCTGGCATCTGGGTGGGGGTGAGGGAGGGGCTGCTGAGGAGGACAGGGTTTCCTTTCGGGGTGCGAGAATGTTCCGGAACACAGCATTACGCGTGCACTAGATGCCACTGTGCACAGTAGAATGATTGTTATGTGAATCTCAGTTCAATTCTAAAAGAAAAAAATGTGCCACTGAGACGGTTCAGGAGCATCCGGGGTTCCCTGTGGCCATCCAGCTGTGCCCCACATGCCCTGGGGCCAGTCCAGGCCCTGCAGCCGCCCTGCAGCCTGGGGACGGGATGGCAGCGGGGGCGGGTCCTGGACTGGGGCCTGAGTCCGGCCGTTTCCCTGCAGCGTCTCATGTGTCCTGGCAGCTCAGAACCAGGGCCAGGGTCCAGAGGGGACCGCAGGGCCCCTGAGAAACAGCCGCCGGATCTGGGGCTGCGGGACTTTGGAGACCCTGCTGGGTCGCTGAGAAGTCTGGCACAGCCCCGACACCACCCTCAGCTCAGGGTCCTTTCCTTAGTCACCTCTCTGCCGAAGGTTCTGGGGGTCAGGGTGTAGACGCTGGCTGGGCCCGTAGGAGCCTTGGGGGTTAGGGCCCTAGGGGCACTGGAAGGACACCCCACTGGAGGGGCAGGAGCCGGCAGGACACCCAGGATGCTCCCGCCGGCTGCCGCCTCCCTGTCCTGTGTCAGCGGTGAGGAGGAGATGGGAGGGAGAGTGGCCTCACAGGTCCACTTGGGTGGGGGCTGGGAGCCCAGGTAGCCAGGCGAACAGGGGTTCTTGGTGGCCGCAAGTTGGAGGCTGCCCTCGGACAGCCCTCAGTGGCCCGGGCAGGTGGACGAGAGGGCACTGCCTTCCTGCAGGGCCAGCCCTCCCCCAGATGGGGTGACAGGTGAGGATGCCAGCCCGGGAGTCTCTGACAGGATGGACCTGGGATGGAGGACACCCTCCCACCAGCCCCTTGGCGGGGCGGCACGCTCCAGCGTCGGGCCCTTCGCTGCATCCGGCCCGAGCTGCACAGACATAGAGTGTCCGCTGCCCCCGCCTCCTGCTCCAGGCTCAGGTCTCCCCAGGACCCCAGACCTGCAGGGGCCCGGGGTCAGCCCTCAGGCTTCCTCTTCTGTCTCGGTGCCCCATGCTGGTTCCTGCCCCGACTCGCACGGTCGCAGAGGCTGGGGGCCCCTTGTCTGCTCGGTGAGCTGGGGCCACACAGCACCAAGGGGGGGGCTGCATCCTGCTGGACCATCGGGCCTGAGCGGACCCCCCTCCCTCCACCTCCATTCTGCCTGGGCCCCCCCCGAAGGAGGGGCGGCCGGGGCTCTGCTCGGCTCCTGCTGGTGCTGACCTCGTCCACATGCCCTCAGGCCCCCCCAGAGCAGTGTCCCCCCAAAGACCAGGGTGCCCCAGCCCAGCCCAGCCCAGCCGGTGCGGCACGAGCCGCCACAGAGGGAAGGCGCTGACAGGGCCGTGGTTGGAAGCAAGCAGCCCGCACGGAAGAAGTGCAGGGAGAATTGCTCTGAGCTCGCTGCAGAGTGCCCGCCCGCGCAGCCCCGGCGTGCCTGCGGTCCGGGGCGTGGACACGGGAGAGGGGGACACGGGTGGCATGCACGTGAGTGTGCACATGCGTGTGCCGAGAGGCTGAAGCCAGACCCCGGGCGTGAACGGTCCTTGGTTCCCACAAGTGGGGGCTTCTGGGCCAGGGTTCCCCTGTGTGCAGAAAGACGCCCCTCCCCTCTCCGGACGCCGCCGGGCCCACGACCATCTCCCCGGGAGCCCCAGGCGGGCAGGCTGCCCTGTGCCCTCCGCTGCGGGCTGCTGCGGTGACGCCACCCGCCTCCCGTCAGGCCCTGTGGCCCCGGCGAAGGGGCCCCGCCGACCCCGCTGATCAGACGCAGGGGCGTCCCCCGAGTGGAAGTCCCCGGGCGTGCTCCTGTGAGCTGCGGCCTGAGGAGAAGCAGCGAGGCAGATGGACGCCCGGGAGCCCCTCTCTGGTGCCCTGGAAGCTTGGGGGGGGGGGCAGGCTGCCCCCACTGAAGTCACTTCCTCTGGACGCTGAGAACAACCCCTGGGTCATCCCACGTGCACCCCCGGGCTCTGCCCCACTGAGGGTCCCGGGAGGAAAGGGGCTGAGGGAGCCCGGGTCCAGTCCGCCCTCCGCCTCCCTAAGAGTCTCCAGGAGCCACTCTGGGGCCGTCAGCGGCAGGGACACAGACGCTGCAGGGATGACATCCGAGCACCCCCGCCCCCTGGACATCTGGCAGGGCTCTGCGTTCCTGCTTCTAACCTCCAGGGCCCTTGCTTGGTCCTCTGGCACGGGTCGGGGCGGGCCAGAGCAGACGCTCCTGGCGGAAGCCACATCCTCAGCCGCCCCAGAGGTGCCATCTCGGGTGTCGCACTGTCCACCCTGGGTGGCCGACACACGCACGCACGGCCATCCTCGCACACCTCCCTTGCCCTGGCTCTTGTGTTAGCCGCTGGGGGTCCCCACACCGGGGGTCTTTTGTGCTGGTATTTCAGTGGAGCCCCTCCCGCAGGAGGTTCCGCGGAGGATACATTGTAACACCTGCCTGTCTGAGAGCTCTTTGCTCCGCCCTCCCGTGTGAGTGCCGGCAGGGCTGGGCACGGAATTGTCCATGGGAAATCACCCTCCTGCAGCGCTTTGTAGGCATTGCTTCCACGTCTGCTTACCTCCACTGCGGCCGCTTCCTACCTCAAGCCAGTATGAGGCCTCTTTGGGGACCTGATACATGTTGGTTTGTAGGATGTCCCATTTGGACTAGAAAAGAAGGTGCATCTCTCTGTGCACTGCACCTTCCAAATAGCCCATGCCTGCCCCGGAAGGTTCGAGCTGGTGCAGGGAGGGGTGGGGGCATTGCCCTGCAGTGGTTGGGCCAACTATCCGTTGCTGCTTGGTGTCTCCTGAGGCTACGTTTTTAGTTGCATATATGTTATATTTTTTT